CAGTATTTAATATTCATTTGTTTAACAAGGTGACTATTAATGTAATATTTAAAAAATCAATTTTTTATTACCATAAAAAAAAATAATTTTAGCAATCATTGACATAACTAAACCATCATTATCCATATTGGTTTGTCATTTGAACTTCTAATTCAACTAACGTTGAAGCCAAATGAAAGACTGTGACTCAAGAGTTATGCATCAACTATACGAAGATGTCCTATACAACAAAAAAATCAAACTAGCAAATATGCTCATTTCGATTGGTTAACTTAGATTCGAATATTTTGTCTAATTTAATCAGGCACGATAGATTCATTTTTCATATAAATACATGTATTTGTCATGTTAATTATTTTTGGATAATGGTTGATACACTCACAACGTGTTAAAGTTTGAACAATTATTTCTCAAGTAGGTTGAAAATTTTTAAAACTTAGGTTGTTGATTTTTTTGGATTTAAAAGTTAAACTTGTAGATACTAATATGTGGGTAAATACATTATTGGTTATTCTACTTTAGTGAAATTTTATATCGATTATCAAACTTTATTTTCTATTAAAATGGTAATTTTAGTATTTAAAATTTTTCAGTTACGTCACCTGGTTAGATCCAAATGGACAAATTAACAAATATATCTACGTGGCTTCACAGAATTATAGCAATAATCCCACATTCATATGTTTATGGCTTATGGGTGATTGACTATGGGTGGGGAAGGTTTAGGATGAATTTTGGGATATAGTAATAAAAATTGAGTTTTTAGCATAACGAATTAAAATGTCAATTAGTTTACCTCAACATTTGACGATTAATTATCAAGATTGGATGTTACTTTCACAAGCAAAGTTACCAAAATATATAATGTCCGAAATCTACAGGTACAATATCACAAATTTATGGATCATGAATAAGTAATAGAGGGGTGTTGATTCCAACGATCGATTACTTGTGTTTAAGTTATTCAATTCTAGTTAATTAAATTTCCATGTAATAAACACAAATTGGTTTGATTTTTTCAATTAACTACTTAAATGAAATGTAATTAGAAACCAAAAAATAATAATAATAACAAAAGAAAAATCAAGTGAAAGTGAATTTTTTGGAACTCTGTTTAGAACGTGTTGGATTTACTTTCACCCAATTAATTTCGAAATAAGCAATTTAGTTTATTACTCAAATTCTCCTATAATCAATTACCTTTCTCAAGTAATAATTTGCCCCAACCGACTGTAGCCTATTATATCTTTAGAATTGATCTCTTACTCCCAGTAGGCATGATAAAACTTTTCACTATTGACGTGGTAAAAAATCCTTAGTTATTACTTTTTGAATTTATGGCAATTTCATAACTAAAATTATCTTGTCATGTCAGCTATGTAAAGTTTTTATCCTACCTACTGGGAATAGGAGATCAAGTCTAAATATATCTCTATGTCGATTAATACACATTTCAGCCGTGTTAATTTTGTGTGAATAGCACAAAGGGTAACATTTGGTTAGGAGTGTATCTTTGTTTCCTACAAGAATATATAACTATTCTTCTAGGGACCAAATTATCTAATAACCTTTGGAGAACTTGACTAAGAATTTAGAAACCCTCTATTTTTAAAGACTATATTCTATAATTTAAAGAGTATCTATAAATTTAGAGAGTAAAAAATTTTAAGCACTTCAATAGGCTCTTTATATTTAACACTTAAATTGGCTATTTCCAAAAATATAAAACGTTATTTCTAAGTTAAAACGTTAATTTAAAAAGTCTCTTTAAACATTATTTTCAAATTTGACCCTTTGAAATAGAGAGTATGTTACATTTAAAGAGCCCTTTGAAGATACTCTAAAAAAAGCCCCCTCATTGAATCTCAATTATGCCTTTACACACTCCATTTGTTGACCTCGAAAAATGTAACGTAAATGTTCAAAAATGCCCTCGTGATTCCTGCACCAGCAAATTAACACTTGATTGCCCGGTTTGAAGAAGTTCCAACAAGCAGGCCAAAAGGGGTGTTCTGGCAAGGGCCAAATTTTAAAGGCATCAGAAATATTTCAGGCTGATTTTCACTTCAGACCCATTTTTGTCGATGTTTTGCTTCCGAGAATCTTTTCGGAGACGAGATCTCTCGTGGTGCATTAATTATAATCCCCTCTTTCAGTTCATAACTCCTCGTTCCATGTGTAATTCGCATTGATCTCTTAAAAATGATAAAAACAAGAAAAACATGAAATAAGCTAACAATAGTACAAATAAATGACTATAAATAAGCGTAAGAGTTACAATTATAAAATGACATTGTCTAACTTTAGTAACTAAATTTGTCATAAAATACTTAAAAGTGACAACATGACATTTAGCACAAATATAAAATGTTACTTATAAGTAAAAACTTTACCTATGTGTGAAAAAAAATTATTTGAAAGTACAAAATTTAATAACACTAAAAATTTACTTATAAATGAAAAAATAATAATAACTTAAACTTTAATTATGAATTACTTTTTATGTTCAACATTAACTTATACATAAAAAATTATTTATAAATAAAATATAACTTGCCCCTATTTGGTTGAGATTAAAATTAGATTTTTAGTAAATTTTGATAAAAGTTTTTGAAATGTGTGGTTGAAAAGTTGTGGAATCCATGAAATATGTGATTAATATTGATTGTTTGACTTTGATTTAGATTAAAATATGAATTAAGTCAATACCAAACAAGGGTACGAGTAAAAAAGTTCATATAAAAA